ATACGTTGAAACATTCAAGGCGAATAAAATTCAACGGAATGAATGAAATGGATTTTAGCTAGTATTCACTGAGGTCAGTTAAATTGCTATAATCAACTAATAAATCAAGATAATCACAAAGGTTCGGAATGTACCTAAAGCGAAGAGACTGCGCTGTAGTCTTAAACTGATTGAAACTTTGCTTCTTAACACAAGAGAAATTTCGGAATGTCTCGTCTAAAGGGCACACATATTGAATGTTGTGCCTTTTGTAATGTATCTCTTTCTGCAAGAATCAGCTGCTGGCCGCTGGTACATTTTCCCCAAAAGAGAAACAAAGTACAGCTACGGCGAAAAGCCGGTTTAACCGGTATGTCTAAAAAATAAAAATTCGGTCAATATCGCAACAACACGTTTATCATTTTTAACTCACACACAAAAACCACAAGGTGAGATGAGAAAAATAAGTTTGTATTCCGTTAGCGCTCAAACTAAATATAAAATGAGTGGAAAAATTAGCCGATATCAATTCCAAATCTTTGGGAGATTTTTTAAGTTTAATAAGCCAAGGTAGTGAACGGGTCTTTCTTTATTATAAATAAATAAATTAAATATTGGAGAGTGAGAGCCATTCAATAATTCAAATTGACCACAGTGAGAAAGTTCATTTCGATAAACGTGTCAAAATAAACGAGTCTTCGATGAGAACAGGTAATGCGCGAAACATTTTTGGAAATTCCGATGTTCTCAACACGTTTCTTTTTTTACATGTGCTCTTCACATCCACTCCAGCGTGTTTATCGGTGGCATAATTAATATGCATAAATTTCGCAAAAACTCCTAAGATTAAGAATGAACTCCCTCTACAGTAATGTAATCCGATTTTAGCACAAAATGGTGTGCTCATTTCTAATTTTGTCTGGGAACTTCTTGCGTCGCGTATGACGTAAATTCAGAATTAAAACTTCACTGATTAGTATCCTTTCGAACCCAACGTGTCTCATGCAACTTCAACTTGAGTTCATTTCGTAATTTGGAGTGAGTTTAATGCAGATTATCATGTTGTTTGCGGCAGGCAATAAATCAGTAAATTCATTAGCACCTTATCTTTGCGGTTGCGCTGTCTCGTTCAAAGTCTCGAATATTGCGATTTTTAAATGTGTTTCAAGCACAAAGCGCCTAAATTTAACGCACGCCAGTTTATCAACATTGATGCACAAACAAATTTTCTAAACGGAATTTTACTCTCACCCAAATTTTGACAGTAAATATTTAATGGTTCAAGTGACCTAGTTTGAGTGAACACGAAGAAAACTCTGGGAGATGTATAAACAAGAGGCTGTTTCTACCGACCGATAAGCGACCGAAAATTATTCGCCGGCTTTTTATTCGAATTGAAGAATCATAAAATGTTGTTTGCCAGTCGAAAATCAATCGAATCGAATATGAAATCGAAGTATTTTTAGAAACTGGGCTCACCTAATTATGAGGTGAATCAATTCTATTTACAGATGATCAACAAGTCTAATCGGATATTGAAGAGGGTAAACTGGAGATAAAAAACAAAACTAGAAATAAGAGCAAGGCTCAGAATGTCTTATTGCTCTGTAAACTAATTTCCGGTTCTAAAAGTGATTCATTCATACCCGAATGGTTATGTTTGAATCATTGATCCTTCCCATCGATAACCAACGTTCGCTTCGAATGAAATACACTGTTCGTTTTCATCTCATTTTCAGCCATAAAGTTTATATTTAAACACCTCATTTCGCAATGGATCTGGTTGAGATGTGTATGAGTAGCCGCAAAACATGGAAATGTCGAAATTTTATTGCATATTTCATAGCGCTGCTATATTAACCAGTCAATCTATGCTGTTCCAAGACGTACAGACACGAACACAACATTCAATCCAATTACATTTGCTTGGATTGAGATTTGGTGCGCTGTGTTTGATTTGATCGTTGCAAATAAGATTTCAACTGTTTTACACACATACATTCGAATATAAGATTGTCCCCATTCGAAATGCAAGACGCGAATATGCGTGAGCTAATTTCAACGGTACGCGTCGCACAAAAAACTTGTTTTGTCTGAAAAGATGTTTGTGCAATACTGTGTCGGACAAGCTTGGTGTTTTTTCTCTCTCAAGTTTCAGATTGTTTGTGTTGTGACCACAAAATGAATTGTTTTTTCGTGCAGCGTGCATTGACAGACGATGCAAAAACGGCTACAGAATCTCAATGAGTTCCTTCATGACACGCTTTAACTTCGGACATGTATATTGTAACCTCTTTCCCCTTTGGCAGCCAGCTGCATTGTATGCTGCTTGCACATTTCCACTTTTAATGTCGAAATTCACGAAAATTGCATAACATTTTCATGAACCACATCCATCTTGCTGCGTAAATTCCAGTCTTAATATCGAGCCAAGACCGAAAACATATTTCTCTTGTAATTTAAGAGCGAGAGGCGAGACAAACTGGTTTTGCAGCTTCGTGCAATACAGACAATTCAGATTGGTTACACCGATCTAAGTAGCCAATTATGTGTTAAAATTAACACGTATAAAAGCGCATTGCTGACGTGCCATTTCAAACGTCGAGTTTTAATGGATATCAAACGGTATTGGACGAAGAAAAAAGAACAAAGGTTTGGAACAAATCCTAGTCATTTGATTCGATTACTGACGCACATAACCATTTGCAAATGTTCTATTATTATTCATGATGAACACTGACCAGTTCGAAAATTCATTTCGGTCGATTGAGTTCGTTGCAAGTGAGATGGGCTTTAATAAACGGTACAAATTGATTAATCACTCATAATTTGTTCCTTCATTTGCAAATGGTAGTCAAATGAATACAGCCACAGCGTGGCTATTGCCAAACGGTGCGTAATATACGGGAACCGGTCTTTGATTTATTTGCAGACATAGAAAGACCACTCGGACGGCAAAGCAATCACTCGAAATGCGCAAATCAATTACACTCTATAAATTGAAATTACTGTAGCTATCGTTGGTGTTTACCACTTTATTGGTTGTTTTGATATCAACCAGAAAGCACTCATTGTGTGTGTGTTTGCTTTAATTAAAAGTAATGCACTTCCAGGCCGTATATGCAAAACATGAAACTATTGTAGACACAGTCATGAACACCACAATGTCCGTAACATTCGATATGTGCTAATCATTGTTTCAATGTCAAACTAGATTAGATTAACCAAAAAAATATCCAACAAAGGAAAAAAACGCAGACAAAAAAGGCAAGCTCGATATTGTCATCGTCATCGTCGTTGTCGAATGTTCGTTGGCGTTGTCTTTTTTCCACTTCGATTTGTTTATGATGTCAATTGCTGATTTGTCAGTTATATGATAAATAATACACGTCTAACGGGTAAAGTGGCCAGACCAGTCAGTTTTTACGTCTTTATTGGGCTATTACTTATTTTCCTCTACTTAATTCTTGCTTTTCTGTCTTTCTCCCGATTCCATCGAATCGGTGACGCCGTACAATTTGCATATATTCGATCTGAACTTGATGTGCTTCGCTGGATAAGCTGGACGACAATCGCATATCAAGAATACAAATAATTTAAGTTTGCAAATTCAACGCATGTACTGTTGAAAAAGAAGTCAGCAAAACACAGAAAATAGTCGATTGTTCGAGTAATTTGTTTAACTAGATTATGACGTATTGTGTGTGTGCGCTTCGAGTGTCCAGTATTTTGCATTTATCGTATGTGCTGATTTTGTTATTTATGAGCTGAATATCGTTCAATGTGTCCATGCGCGTGTACACACTTTAATTGCTACAATTCAATAAACGTGCATAAATAATGAGGCCGAATGGGCACAATCGCATGCAAATGAAACGAAAGGGAAAAATCGTCAAGTGACAATTCGCGTGCTTTCGAATTTGCACTAAAATCACATTTGCTATTAGCATAAGCGAATAGACGTTGCACGTAATAAGGCTGGCGCATTTACAATATCAAGTGAATTTCCTATGATTACCTTGACTTGCTGTGTGTGCTTTTGATTGTGCGTTCGCTCGTAAAATACAATTGTTCAAATGACCGCCCAGCAACTCCAATTGAAAATTGCATTCGCATGGCAGATTCCACGCAGCAGCTTCGGTCGGTCGGTCAGTCGCATGCGAAGAATGATAAAATCGAAAAATTTGTGCGCACAATCGTCGAAACATTTCTCTCATTTGACCCGATTCACTGCAAATATGCGATTCACGAATATTGATGCGATCAAAGTGCCTCTTCCTTGGCTCCATTTGCGGTTTTCGATTTTAATGCGCTCCGTTTTTGGATAGCCGATTAACTATAGCCGATAAATTCGTTCTGAAATGTGGAAACTTTGCCACTATATTGTTCGAACGGTGTGGAATGGAACGGAACGGAACGCAGTGCACAAATGCATATTTTACATGGTTATTGGATTTTAACACAAACGTATAATTGAATTAGTCTGAACAAGGGAATTATTATTGAATTCGATTTCAGTTTATTGGTTGGAAATAATGCCAATCGTCGACTGAAATTGTGTAATTATCTAACGAGAAGAGGATCAATTAAATGGCTGTTTGGTTTGGCAACAATCACTTAGCTCGAATCATGAGGAGACACAGAGAAAAGGATGTTGACTCTCCTCCTACGGCTATTGATAGTTTGCTCATACATGTTTTTATCGTTCATTTGCACGAGCGCAAACAGTGTTGAAACAGCCAAATATTCCCATCTTGTTTTTTTTGTTTGTATCCAAAACAATTGTCTCGTCAGCATTTTATGTGATATTCTAAAGAAATGTGAATACAACAGTTAATTTGACGGATTGTTTTAATTGCTTGATGTGTGCTTTATTTGCAATTGACTAGAATTCCATGACACATTATTATTATTATTATTATGGTGTACGGCCACGCACGCCAAACAACAACTCATCTGAATTAGAATGAATGCTGCTAAACATGTAAATGATGTCGGTATTTTTTTTTGTTCTTTTGCAGGCTTTTGGTTTCTTTTTGCATTCATACCGTTCCCTCGGTTGCTGTTTTCAAATACGTTTTTTCTTGTCGGTAAGTAACTACATCATTGTACGTTTCTTTTGGTACAAAATTGTGCTAATGTAAATATTGGATGTGAATCAAAATGAAAAATAATAAATGTTTTTAAAAGAATTCGCGAGCATATGTTTTTCCTCTTTGCGTGTGAATCAAACAAAACAAAACAAAATTCAACCTGTAAATTCGCTTAGAAACTGACAATTAAACAATTAACATTTGAGATTGTTGGCGGTTCATTTCGTTTTGTTTTTACTTCGCAAATTCATCAAGCCAAACAAATTAAACATTCGTTTAAGTGATATGCCGTTTATTTTCATTTCATTTTATTAAACTTGATTGCAATGCCGCCGTCATGTCAAACGCGCACACACCAGAATTGATCAATTTTGATGGACTTTTTCCATTGTTACAATTTTGTGGCTGTGTCATCATTTAATGATTCCGTTTTTATTTTCGGCTTTGATCTTCAACTAACGATTTTTTGTAGCGCGCGCACTCCAAGTACGTGAGCAATAATCAAATTGAGTAATCATCGATGCGTATATTGGTTGAGCTGTAGTTTTTTTTCTACCGTTATTACTCAAATTATAACATGGATTCGAAGGTTGAGGTCACTACCAAAAGAAACAATTATCAACGATGGAATGAAAAAGTGAAGAGACGCAACATATGAAACGTCTACAACAATGAAAGCACATGTTTGGTTTTGTTTTGTATTTGGGTGAATATTGTTTTAGAAAAAAAATTGTAAACTAAACAAACGCAATCGCTGTTTATTCTTTTTTTGCACTCGCCGTTCACGTGCGTGAATGAAACAACATGCCAGACAGAATACGATTTCAAAACTGTAATAAAACTGTACTTATATGCTTGCTGAAATATTGTGTTGATGCATTGTAATAATAGCACTGAAAGTAACGGCTCAGACACTTTTTCGGGTAATTTTTTTTGTTCGTCTCTGCACAATCGTATGATAATGCAATAATAAACACAATCGTTTTGGATAGTTGATGGACTTGAGACGCTCATACAGAACAATGAAGACCTTAATTGTGTGTTGAATGTGCGCTTACGCAAAAGAACGAGTTTAATACAGTATGGAAATTTTCCACACCAATAAAGTTAATTTTATATTTTGCCCCGAAGAGCCGTCGATACCCGTTCAATATTTTTGAATATGCGTTTGTCCGAACCAGAGTAAACACTTCCTTGTTGATAGTTGACAGCAAAAATTTGAAAGCAAGTTCAGAAACACGACTACTAACAATGACATAAACCAAGTGTTAAAAGCAATCCAACGGCGAAAACATTTTTCAGTTTTGAATTTTCGAGCTGTCATAAATGGACATTCGATACAACTAATACTTGTGATCAATTGTCTCGAAATTAGTGCTTAGTGTTGGGCTTAAAAATAATCCCGTGAATATTCTAAATGAATACTCTTGAGAAGTGAATCAATATACATAGTGTGCAAAAAAGTCATTCAGTTTTCTTACCACAAATTGTTGTTCCATTGATGGAACTGTGATAAAAGTGCCACATATAAACCAGAAGCCACCGTATGTGTAGTGTTTATCTTTGGAAAAATCCTAATCTATCGAAGGGTAAAAAAACCATTCACAATATCCATTCTTCTGTTCACATTCAGCTCTTGGCAATATTATTATCAGCTCAAAATGCGAAACAAAATCAAATCATTATTATTCTCCTCAGCCGCTGTGCTCAATTGGCCTGGTACAATGAAAGTGGCAAAGTGCTCATTGTTTGTAGAGGTTTTATCAATAAACCGTCAACCGTGCCACTAACATAAAACTAGATAGTTGAATGGAAAAAATGGGTTAAAAGTCAACCATGTGCAAATGCGGTTAACCGTTTTATGCACGCTTTACGCTTCAAATCGTCGTAGCAAAAGATACCGTGTGCTCCAAAAATAAACACACATCTTCATTGCTAAGTTTGATGCGCAGAACTTGCAGTGTGTGCCATTAGTGTTGAAATCGATCTTTGTGTGACGAGTACGATGACCAAGACGGCTGCAAAACAACAATCAGATTATGATAATCGGAGTGTAAGCAAAGTGCACGTGTCCAGGACGGTCACTATCATTCAATTGGATAATTAAATGGCACGTCAAAACGGTCACCGATAACCGAAGATTTACACTACACTCTCAAAAATCAGCCATATCTGTTATTAATATACCTTGTAGTAAACGCGTTTATAGTGTTTCACTGTAGTAGCAAAGTATCCTATTAAATTCCACTGTAGTATTACTACAAGAAAATTTAATAGGTAACACCGCTACTACAGTGAAACACCATGAACGCGTTTACTACAAGGTATATTAATAACAGATATGGCAGGATTTTCGAGAGTGTATAATTTCTATTTTGACATTTCAGAGAAATTTTCTAACCGTGTTTCGAATTTGTGCCAACTGAAAAAAAACCGCATTATTTTCGTTATTATTGCTTTTCAATGGTGAATGCTACAATTCGAGCGATAAATACGTTTCAAAACTAAATGCCAAACTATAATTTGAAGGAATTTGCTGAAGAATTACATACATTTTTGCCACATTTTGTTTGTTGCATTTTCCGTTCACATTAGCATTTGCCTCGATTTCGCGGCCAGCCAATGGATTGCATTCGCCAGTTTATTTATATAAATATTTCAATAGCATCCCGCGAGCGTTGTTTCGGTTTGATAAAAGAAATGTAGTTGGCGTTTAAAAATAGATTACCAATCATTGAATATAGGCTAGATTGACCAAAAATTATCATGTTTCACGGTTGATTGCCGATAGATCCACCGGTTTTTTGTTACCACTATCATGTTAATTTTGTTTTGTTTTGATTTCTCACAAAAGATTGTTTCATTCGTCTATATAAAACCACAATCGAGAGACACTGAGTGTCCATAAATAGATATTTTGAAATGTGAATGCATATTAATAAGCATTTGAGCGAACTTTCGTCATGTGTATTCCAATGTGTTTTGGTTTTTCCTTCAAACATTTCGACAAAATGAATTCAGCGTCCATTTCGGAAAGACAAACTCGATCAATACAGCTCGTATTTTTCTAAACGAATGGAATATTTTTACATTAGCCGAGCGTATACGAACACACACAAAATTCTGCAACCATAAAACAGTTGTTTAATCAGCTTACGATTACATTATATTCAATTAATGCTTCGTGCATCGTGTGTGACTGGCAGTCACTGACTGCATACTTTACATTGTACAATGTGAACAGTCGATGCATACATTGGAAAAAAGCATACTAAGCAACACTGACATGTTTATTACACCATCGAAAAACCATGCAGAAAGTTCCTAGTTAGAAAACGGCGTTTCGGTAACAGTGCTCGTTGCACTTTCTTAAATGTTACATTTAATTGTGAATTTTCCGATATTTCGCACACACACACACCATCGCTTGTGCACGCTAACTCAGTGTGCCAACAGTAATTCCGCAGTCATCATTTTCAGTGTTGGATACAGTGCATTTCATTATTATTCTTCATTCTGTCGATTTTCCAGATTGCTGTGCATGTGTTTGTGTGTGTGTAAGTGTTGGTCTGTCGAAATTCTACACTGAAAGCGACATTACACATTTCATGCAATTTTCTATGTATTATCTGATTGTAGCAGCGGTAGAGTTGATAGAGTACTTCGCTTAATTCATTCACTCATAATCTTTATCGAGTCGCTGGAGAATAATATGCTGGCATTCGTATGTGCATGAGAGAGAAATTAGTACCCTTGCAAAAAATGTAATGGCTATGTATATGGTTGCTATATAGTGATTCAGTTAGAAAATGAGTCATTTGGTTGAATTGATTTAAAAGAAAATCAGGATCCAGTTATCTAAAAGCAGCTGAGTAACTAAAAGATATGATTTACACCCCAAATCCGGATTCTGTTTAATCATGAAATTTTCCATTAGGGAACCTAATATTTGAAGGGGTTATCGCGCTCGATGCCAGTAGTTTCAACTAATTTTTTTTCACATATCTATGTGTGCTAGCTGCTTGTGTGAGCACTTTCAGATTGAAATTGAATCCGTTTCCATGACATATTGTGCTCCACAATTTATACATTTTTTTATCCTTCTTTGCTACATTTTCACAAATTGTGAGCCAGCTCGAGCGCAACTGCTGCAAAAATTTGAATCATTTCTCGCTTGGGCTAATCATTGTTGTACAAAGATAAAATTTAGATAGATAAGATGATATCTTTATCTTTATCTAAATCAGTCACTCAGATTGGTCTTCTATCTTGATATCTTATCTGAATGCTTTTTTCGATATCTATCTCGAATTTTTTTAGATAATTCGATTTTCTCATAGAAAAATATCAAAGATAACTAAAAGATAATTATCTTTTTCCAATTATAATTGGAAAAAATATCTTATCTTTTATTGGATAGATAAGATAATATCTCATCTTCGTCTAAATTATTTTTATGATTTTTCACAAATATCTTATCTTTATCTAAATAAATTTCATGTCCTTTTCGACGGGTGAAGCGACAGTTCGAACTTCTGGCCCTCTATCGACTTAATTTTGAAGCATTCTGTCATATTCAATACACGACACTTGACAGCCATTGACAGTTCATGCTGTACACATTGTTTACAAAACAAGATAGCAACTAGTGAAAATTAACTGATTTTTAGGACTGAAATCAATGAGTTATAAAAGGGGCAGCAAATTTCAAATGTATTCAGATTTATTTTAAATAACTTATTTAAACGTAAAAATCGCATAGCGGTCACCAAATCGAATATAATAGAAATTATAGCCAAACAAATGAAAGAACGTATTACTTAAAAAAGTGCCGATGTTAGTTCTCAAAAACAGTTGTAGAGGGCCAGAATGATGAACATACATTTCTATAGTTTCAGTACAGAAATACGGAATTGCTTCCACCCGTCGGTCCTTTTGAACAACACTGGGGCTAATGTAGATTATGTAATTTACTTTGCAATCGACTAACTACGAGG